AAGTCAACAATCAAATTAATTATATTATTTTTACAATATTATTACAAAACTCAAAATAAGATATTTTTATAACTCTATAGAAAACCTAAGCAATAGTAACAACAAAAAAAGTTTTACCACAAAATTGGCGATTGATTTACAATTTAAACAATTTTATTACTTCTGAGTGACGCGAAGAATGGATGTCTGAGCGCCTCATCCGCTGTCAAACGAAACTTGTGGTCAAACACAAGAAGCTTATCAATGAAATCAATGGATATGGGAGTCGATAATCTGGTTAAGCCGTGTATTAAGAAGTCCTCCCATTGACGGCGCTGGAGGTCGGAGTCTAAGAGATACTTAATTCCCTTCAGATTTGGTAAACGATATTTTTGAACGTATTCTTTAAGACAATCGGTTCCCAAAACGCACACAATTTTCTTCAATTGATCCGAATTATCCAAACCATTAAAGAATGGCTCCCTTTTGAACAAAAGTCCGGCGGCAACGCATCCAAACGACCACATGTCCAATGAATAGTCGTATTTACTGAAACCCAACAGCAGTTCCGGCGGTTTATAGAATCTATGGATCAAATAAATAATTATTCAAAGCCATTATCGATCATCGATTGCGTTGAAGACCTCGAGGCCACTGTCACCGGATATATACGGCCGTCGGTGTAAGTGTCGGCCAAACCCCAGTCGATGAGTCGCAACGTCTTCATAGACCTATCGATCATCACATTTGATGGTTTGATGTCGCGATGGATCACTTCCTGCGCCACAAAACAACTATTAAACACTCAATGAATGATTGAAATGAGTTTCACAGACATTCTTGTGGCAGAAGTCGATGGCGCGCAACAGTTTGTACAGATATAACGGGATCTCCTGTTCGGTCAAATCCATGGCCACAGTCTTGAGGGTCTCGTTGGACACGAAGGGGAAGACCAGCGCCGGAGTGCCGTCGTTGACGATCACGTCCTTCAATGTGATTATATTGGGTCCGCTCTGAAGACGTCTCAACACATCCACCTCTCGGAGCACTTTCTCCGGTCGGACCGGCTTTAAGACTTTGATGGCATACCTCTTGTTGTTGGCCACGTGTTTGGCCTCAAACACCTCTCCGTACCGACCGCTGCCTAACCGTCGGATCAGCTCATAGTTATCCGCGTCACCGATGCTTATCGTGTCCTCCAGTTTCTTGTCCGCCATTCAGATGGTGTCCGCAATTGATCCACAAATCGGTCGATAACTAAATTGAAATGATTTTCGCAATTAATTGGCGATTAATTTCACACTTCAGAGCCATTCGTATAAAGCGTTACGAATTATAAATGCATTCAAATCTTAGACACGATTTTCTGTGCATTTTTCCATACATTCAGTCATTCAGTCATTCATTGAATGTTTTGCACAAAAAATATTTGCAAAACTTTAATCACTTTTTTTTGTCTAAAGTTTTACAGTTTTTTTTACTTTGATTTAACATTTAATTTGAGTCATAATTAAAGTAATAGAAAATAACTATAAGTTTTAATTGATAACTGATATAACAATTGTTATGAAATGTATTTTAATAATAATAGCGATCGACGACATCCACACTTATGGTGATCTTCTTCTGGAAGATTATCTCCACTAATAGGCCTATGAATGCCAGACAATAAGACATTGC